CATACCTTCTCCCCTACCCTAAAGATGACCAATCTTCGGGTACTGCTGCACGTCGCCGCTCAGCGTGACTACGAGCTTCACTCTCTTGACTTCAGCACTGCTTTCCTACTGGGCAGCCTGCACAAGGAGATCTGGTTGCGCCGCCCACCTGGTTTCACTGGGTCGTTTCCTCCTGGTACCCAGTGGAGCCTCCGGCGGCCAGTCTACGGTCTTCGTCAGGTGCCTCGCGAGTGGCACGACACACTGAGGACGACTCTTGCGGCTCTTGGGTTTGCTCCTTCTACAGCTGACCCGTCGTTGTTTCTACGCACCGACACTTCGCTGCCGCCGTTCTACATCCTTGTGTACGTTGACGACTTGGTCTTTGCCACTGATAACACTGCTAGACTGGCCCACGTGAAGTCGGAGCTGCAGAAGAGACACACGTGCACAGACATGGGTGAGCTGCGCAGCAATCTTGGCTTGCAGTTCACCCAGGACAGAGCACGGCGCACCATCACCTTGACTCACACATGGTGCAGCAGGTCCTTCAGCGCTTGGACTTCCAGTACTTCTCGCCACAGGCCACTCCTCTGCCCACGGGTCGCTCGCTCTCAGCTCTGCCTTCGGATGAATCCGTAGAGCTAAGTGGCCCATATCCAGAGCTTGTGGGCTGCCTCATGTACCTGATGACCTGCACTCGACCTGACTTTGCTTACCCTCTTAGCATCCTGGCACGCTACGTTGCGCACAGGAGACACCGACCAGAGCACCGGAAGGCTGCTAAGAGGGTGATGCGCTAGTTGTGCAGTACATCGGGCATGGGGCTCGTGCTTGGAGGACGGGGTCCAGCTGTCCTCTTTGGTCACGCAGACGCTTGACGACTTGGCTACGCAGCGGTCGTCAGAGGGTTACACTTTCAGCCTTGGCTCCGGTTCTGTCTCGTGGCGATCTACCCGCTCATCTTATGTTCTCAGCTCCAGTTGCGAGGCTGAGATCTACGCAGGGGCCATGGCTGCACAGAAGTTACGCTGGCTCACCTACCTGCTGACCGGCTTGGGAGAGAGGCCTTGTTCTCCTCCAGTTTTGTACGTAGACAACAAGGCCGCCATTGCCTTGTGTTAGAAGCACGGACTAGAGCACAGAACGAAGCACATCGCTCTGCATTACTTCCTGGCTCGAGAGATGCAGCAGCATGGTCAGCTTTGTCTTGCTCACGTGGTCACTCGGGCCAACACTGATGATATATTCACCAAGGCACTTCCGTCTGGTGATCATCAGCGCTTCTGTACTATGTTAGGCCTTGTGCCTATTTCGTCTCACTTACTTACCTCTTGACTTTGCGCGTACTATGATCTATATACTTTTACCTGCATGCTTACACTTCCTAGGTTGTGATCGTTGTTTGCTGTCCTTTAAATATAACTCTGCATGTGAACTGGCCTTGTTGTCATTTGCTTGTGCTCAAATTGTGTGGTGACTTCGTGATCTACCCTGAGCTTGCTTTCCCTTTCTTGACTGGTCTTGTAACCTCTTGTTCTCTCCCACTTTGTCTATGGGGGTGTGTCAAACTATATTTGTTGCTTGTTGTGTAGGCTATAGTGGGGTAGCCCATATGGGGTACAACCCAAATGAGGGTTTGCTACTTGTACCCATCCTGCTGCTAGTTCATTCATTCCTCTTCGTTATTCTGACACCCCATGCTCCGCACGCTCAGACGCAGCACCCCCGTGCTCCGCACTCGCAGGCTCAGCACCTCCATGCTCCTCACGCTCAGGCTCGCACAACCACACGCTCAGCACCCCCACGCTCCTCGCGCACAAGGTCAACACCCCTAGGCTCCTCACACTCAGGCTCAGCACCCGCAGGCCCAGCACCCCAGCAGCACTAGAGTCACCAGTGACCTCGACAAGCTCAACCAAGGGGAGTGGGTCTACCTGAGACACACCTAAAGGAGCAGGACCCTTAGGGGGGAGGGGGTCTACCGGAGGGGGACCAAGAGCAAGGAAGAGCGGCGGGGGAGGGGGAGGGGTAGTGCGGTAGGGGAAGAGATAGTAAAAGGGAACCGACTCGTCAAACGAGACGTCCTAAGAGGACAGAACACGGCGCGAGGTGGGGTGGTAAAACTGCCAGCCAGGCGCGTCAGGGGGAAAACCAAGGAAGACACAGGGAACGACGCGGGCGGAGAGCTTGTCCGCGGAGGTATCGCGAACAAAGGCACGAGATCCCCAGACCCGGAACACTAACGCATCGCTAACCTCTCCCGTTCAACGCAGTGTCGGCGAGGTCTCCGGCAAGGAGACACGGGGCCAGAGGTTGAGCTGATGCGCAGCGTACCAGACTGCAAACGGCCACAAAAACTGGGGGGCAGCCGCATGGATCATGGAGGTACGAGCAACCTCCACGACTAAGCCAATGTGGCGCTCAGCAACTCCATCCTGCTGTGGAGAGGCCGGAATCGTGAACGTCTGGCGAATGCCCTCCCCACGACAAAAGTCCCGCAAGAGGTCGGAGGAAAACTCACCACCTCTGTCAGAGTGCAGACGCAGGACAGGAAGGTCCGTGTCGAACCGCTCGCGAAGCTGGAGACGGACAGCGCGGATCCAAGGGATCAAGACAAAAGGGATCTCCCCCTTGCTGCGCAAGGGGAAGAGCGTGGTGTAACGCGAGTAGTCGTCAACAACCAGCAAAAAGTATCGTTCGCGGCCCTGTCCCTGGACGCGGGCTAGGCCCCATACGTCCAAGTGGAGAGTGTGCAGGGGAGCAGTCGTCGGGGGAACCGAGGAGTGAGGAGCGGCGCGCTGCCGCCCCTCGACACAGGGAAGGCAGGGAGGGGCACGTGAGGGTGGGAGGGGAGGTAGAGAGCTGGGAAGACCAGAGACAAGAAGGCGAGAGTGCATGCCACGAAGGCGTGGCAGAGAGGGGTGACCAAGGCGGTGGTGCCAAAGGAGATTCTGGTGCGACAGGGCACGACACGCGCAGGAGGCTGCTAGCTGACCTGACGCGGATGCAAACGCACTAACCTGAGGAGGCTCAGTAGTCAGTGTGTACACGCTCCACCCAAGCCGACGGGTGAACATGGCCAAGTTACGGCCCGTCTGTGCACACGTGCAGATCGCGACACGCTGTCCCCCATGAGTGAGGTATCAACCCATTCGTCCTGAAGGACGGCGTTGCTCACCAACTTCGTAGAGAACGAGGGGAGGTGAAGACCTGACAGTGAGCCACACGGAACCGTCGGACATGGGAGAACAGTGGAGGAACGTGCAAGAACCGGTCCTCCAGAGGGATCAGCCAGAGAGACTGCAACCGGTGCTGCTAGCGGTGTGGCCGTGGTGCTGTCGTGAAAGAAGCAACGGGAAGCACCTGAATCAAGCGTAAAGGTGTCCAAGGCCTCAGCAGGTGCAGTACCAGAGAGAGCAGACTCACCAGGACCTAAAGGAGCAGCCGCTATACCAGGGTCGGGCGGCACACACAGGTAACAGTCACCCTGAGTACTAATAGACAAAGCATACATGGCAGTGAGGATAGTGTCATAGTCTAGAGCAAAGATATCCACCTTGCTCCTAAGCAGCTCTAGCCAGCGGGGGAGCTCATCCTCGTCACCAAAAACTGCATGCCAGGCGTTGCTCAGACAGGCGAAGCAGCGAGCCTGTGTATGACCAAGTGTCGCGCATGTCTGACCAGCCTGATCACCTGTGCGAATGACGCACGGACAGCGGACAGTACTCCAAGTCCCCCCACTCTGAGCGTACCACTCATGAAGCGTACCACTCCAAGGGTCTCGCGCGGACGCCGCTGCAGCTGCATCTGGCCACCGCCAGAAACTCCGCACTGAACAGCTCCACCACGACTGCTACTACGGCCGCCGCCACCACACCTACTGCCGTACCACTCACGAAGCTACTAGGCGTAAAGGTCTCGCGCGGACGCCGCAGCAGCTGCATTTGGCCACCGCCAGAAACTCCGCACCGAACAGCTCCACCGCGACTGCCGCGACTGCCACCACGTGCGTCGCCACCACGACGGGCTCCGCCACCTCTCCAGCTATTGTCACCACCGCCGTCACCGCTCCGACCGCTACCACGAAGAGAAGTCATAGCGGGCCAAGTAAGGAGGCGTGCGACCGGTAGGGCAGTACGGAGGGAAGGCAGTAGCACGAGCAGCAGTAGCAGTAGTAATAGTAGCGGAGCGGCTCGGTGAGGCTAGGCTGCAGCACCTCCAGCACTCCGAGCAGTACCTGTCAAGATAGCAAGCAGTTTTGATTGCATTGAATGAAATTTGGGTACAAGTACTAACCCTAACTTCGGGTTGTACCCCATACGGGCTACCCTACTATAGCCTACACAGAACTAACACATACATAGTTTGACACACCCCCATAGGCAAAGTGGGGGAGAACAAGGGGTCACAAGACCAATCAAGAAAAGCAAAGCAAGCTCGGGGTGGATCACAACGTCACCACACACTCGAGCACAAGCAAAGGGCCACAAGGTCAGTTCACATGCAGAGTTATATATGCAGCAACAACTGTTACAATACTAAATTAACTAGGAACGGGGTCTAGGAGAGGGCCTAGACTTAGTAGCCTAGGCCAAGCAGGTGTCGAAGTGGTTGTACCAAGAAGTATTGGAGAATGGTTGGAGGTTCACTATAGCACACGAGTACATATAGCAACCTAACAAAGGTGAAAGAGGTGCACCACCACACTAGGGAATTACACAACAGCTACACTACTGGCAGATTATACTAAATATATATAAATCTAATGTGACACACCCCCTATCTACCTGAAGTGCATAACCATGTCTAGAGCCCCCCTTAAAGGGGTACACCTGTAAAACCCCATTACAGGGCGTGGGAACACCAGCAAGGGGCTCCCTCTGAAGCTGACAAGCAGCAACCACCAAGCAGCATCTGAACCACCGTGGTGGAATAGGTGCCCGGCTGCGGTTGAACGCCCCGCAGCTGGTGCACGGTGTGCGAGGAGCACGGGTACGGGTAGCGGGTTCGGGTAGCAACTAGGTGCTGTACGGGACGGGTGGCACGGCGGTGACGGGCAGCACGATACCGGGCAGCACAGACCGGGTGGGGCACGAGCGAGAACTGACAGCACGGGTGGGGCACCAACGGTTACGGACAGCACGGGTAGGGCACAAACGGGCAGAACGGGGCAGCACGGGCAGAACAGGGCAACACGGGCAGAACGGGGCAGGACACGGGCTGAACGGGGCAACACGGGCAGAACGGGGCAGGACACGGGCTGAACGGGGAACACGGGCAGAACAGGGCAGAACACGGGATGAACGGGGCAGGACACGGGCTGAACGGGGCAACACGGGCAGAACAGGACAGAACGAGGACAACGGGACAGCACAGGTAGAACGGGGCTGGACAAGGGCTGAACGGGGCAACACGGCACGCAAACGGGCACGACACAGGCAGAACAGGGCAGCACGGGGGCAGCATGGGAACACGGGGGCAGCACGGGAAGCATGGGACGCACGGGTGAAACGGGTGGGGCACAACCGGGTACGGACAGCACGGGTGAAACGGGTGGGGCACAACCGGGTACGGACAGCACGGGTGAAACGGGTGGGGCACAACCGGGTACGGACAGCACGGGTGAAACGGGTGGGGCACAACCGGGTTCGGACAGCATGGGTGAAACGGGTGGGGCACAACTGGGTACGGACAGCACGGGTGAAACGGGTGGGGCACAACCGGGTACGGACAGCACGGGTGAAACGGGTGGGGCACAACCGGGTACGGACAGCACGGGTGAAACGGGTGGGGCAAGTACGTGGAACACGGGTAGAAGCACGGGTGGACAGCAAGGCACGGGCGGCAGGGGATGGGAGGAGGAGGCGGATGATGCTGCAGTTGAACTCTCACCACCCACACCCCCTGAACCTCCCTCCCACAACAGTAGTAGTGGCAGCGAAAACGAGGAGATGTGGTGGCAGCGGATGGGGGTGCGGTTCCACTCCCACACACCTTCATCCTCCCCCCACAGTAGCAGATGCGAGACTGAGAGGGAGAGGAGGAGGAGGCGGTTGAGGGTGCAGAATCCTTCTTGGCGCCCCCTTACCCTTCCCCCAACAGCCCACCACCTCCGCCTCCACACCCGCTGCCTCTCCACTGACCGCCACCCCCACCACCTCGAGCTAGCACGGTAGCAGTCGCAAGCGCGGCTGGAGCTGGCGGGAGCGTGGGTGGGGGCGACGGGGGGGGGGGGGGGGGGGGGGGGGGGGTGGGGGGAAGAGGAGGGGACGGGCGGGCGGCGGCGCGAGCGGTAGGCTGCAGGAACAGGCAGCGCACGGGCGACGGGTTGCAGCAGCAGGTGACGTGCGATGGCCGGTGCGCTGGCGGTCGTCGCTGGCGTTCCGCCGCCACTCCCTTCCCCTTTACCCTCTTCCCCCCCACAGTGATCCGCCGCCACTCCCTTCCCCGTTTCCCTCTCCCCCACACAGCGACCGCCGCTGCACACGCGAACAGCCGCGACATGGAGGGGGGGGGACGGGCATGGGGCGCGGGTAATGTGATGGGCTAAGGAGCGGCAGCGGGCTAGAGGCCGGGCGGGATATGACGGTGTGCAGGGGACGGGCTGCAGTAGCAAAGGGCGCGCGAGCGCTGGTGCAAACGACGGTGCGCTGGCGGTCATCGCTGATGTGCCACCGCCACTCCCTTCCCCCCTTTCCTCTCCCCCGCACAGCATTTCGCCGCCACTCCCTTCCCCTCCTCTCTCTCCTCCCCAAAGCATTCCGCTGCCACTCCCTTCCCCTCCTCCCTCTCCTCCCCACGGCGACCGCCGGTGCACACGCAAACAGTCGCGACGGGGGGGGTGACGGGCAGGGGGCAGGGGGAATGCGACGGGCAGAGCGACGGCGGGCGAAGGAGCGGCTGGGGCGACAAAAAACGGGGAGACGGACGGAGTCGCAGGTGCGTGGTGATTTTGTTGGCGGGCCGCTGGCGTTTTCGCTGGCGCGTTTTCTGGCGAACTCACAGGTCCGCTGGCTCACTTATTAACAAAACCGTCTGGGTGTCCGCTGGCTGATTCGCTCGTGGGTCACTGGCGCGCTCGATGGAGAATCCGTTGGCGATCTTGCCAGTGAGCTCGCTAGAGCGCTGGCATGCGCGACGAGGCAGCTGCACGCGGGTCATGGCTAAGGCTATTGGTGGGCCCATTGGAAATAAAAAACTGCAGACACAAGGAACTTTTAGGCTCTATACCATGTCAAAACACTATCGTAGCTGGTAACCGGGTTTAAGGAGGGCCTAGGCTTAGTAGCCTAGGCCAAGCTATTGTCGAGGTCAAGGCCAAAGGAGTGTCGAAAGAAATTGACCAAACAAGTTAGCTTCACTAAAGCAAAGCATACAAGATATAGTCTAGAAACACAAACAAGAGGTGCACCACCAACAGCAAAGAACAATAACTACAGTAACTACAGCAAGCAGGATATATCTTAAATATAACTTTGACAACAACAGTACAGTGATCACTACCTAGCAAGAGCAAGCATGCAGGTATATATATAGATCATAGTACGCGCAAAGTCAAGAGGTAAGCAAGTGAGATGAAACAGGCCTAACATAGTACAGAAGCGCTGATGATCACCAAACGGAAGTGCCTTGGTCAATATATCAGCAGTGTTGGCCCGAGTGGCCACGTGAGCAAGACAAAGCTGACCATGCTGCTGCAACTCTCGAGCCAGGAAGTAACGCAGAGCGATGTGCTTCATTCTGTGCTCCAGTCAGTGCTTCTAACACAAGGCAATGGCAGCCTTGTTGTCTACGTACAGAACTGGAGGAGAACGAGGCGACTCTCCCAAGTCGGTCAGCAGGTAGGTGAGCCAGCGTAACTTCTGTGTAGCCATGGCTGTGGCATAGATCTCAACCTCACAAATGGATCTGAGAACAGAAGACGAGCGGGTAAACTGCCAAGAAACAGAGCCGCAGCCAAGGCTGAAAGTGTAACCCTGTGACGATCACTGCGTAGCCAGGTCGCCAACTTAAGAAGCGTCTGAGTGTCCAGTGAGGACAAATGAGCTCCGCCCTCCAAGCACGAGCCCCATGCCCGATGTACTGCACAAGTAGCGCAGTACCCTCTTTGCAGCATCCATGTGCACCTTTTGGTGCCTACCAGGAGCCACGTAGCATGCCAGAAGGCCAAGAGGGTACGCAAGGTCAGGAGAGTGCAGGTCATCAGGTACATGAGGCAGCCCACTAGCTCTGGGTACGGGCCACTCAGCTCTACGGACTCGTCCGAAGGTGGAGCTGAGAACGAATGACCTGTAGCCACAGGAGTGGACTGTGGCGAGGACTAAGTGAAGCCGAAGCGCTGAAGGATCTGCTGCACCATGTGTGACTGAGTCAGGGTGATGGTGCGGCGTGCTCTGTCCCTGGTGATCTGCAAGCCAAGGTAATTGCGCAGCTCACCTAGGTCTGTGCACGTGTGTCTCTTCTGCAACACCGACTTCACAAGGGCGAGAGCCTCAGTGTCAACAGTGGCAAAGACCAAGTCGTCAACGTACACAAGGATGTAGAACGGCGGCACTGAAGTGTCGGTGCGTAGAAACAGCGACGGGTCAGCAGTGGAAGGGGCAAAACCAAGAGCCGCAAGTGTCGTCCTCAGTGTGTCGTGCCACTCACGAGGCGCCTGACAAAGACCGTAGACTGGCCGACGAAGGCTCCACTAGTGTTTGAGTAGGGAACGACCCAGTGAAGCCAGGTGGTCGGCGGAGCCAGATCTCCTCGTGCAGGCTGCCCTGTAAGAACGTTGTGTTGAAGTCAAGAGAGTGTAGCTCGTAGTCACGCTGAGCGGCAACGTGCAGCAGCACCCGAAGAGTGGTCATCTTCGGGGTGGGGGAGAAGGTCTGGAAGAAGTCAACTCCCTGTCGCTGACTGAAGCCTCGTGCAACGCAACGAGCCTTGAAGACAGGCGGAGAACCCGGCGGCCGCTTCACCCTGAAAATCCACATGCCATCGACGATGTTCGCCCTAGGAGGGGGAAACTCATCGACTTCCTGGATGCCATCTCTGCGTCCATGGCTATCTGCCACTGAGAGGAGTAGGGACCCGCGATCGCCTCAGCGTAAGAACGCGGAGTCGGGATGTTTGGTGCATCCGGGTCTCCCTCAGGGGCAAGCAGTATGGCCACGAGATGAGGCGCAGCAGCTGCAAGTCACTCAAAGTCCTCTTGCCTGTCCTCAAGGACGTCCATGCCAAGAGCACACTCACCCCCAACGGACGGAGGACTGATAGACTCAGACTCGGCAACATGACTAGCAGCGTAGTCTAGACGACAGGCAGCAACAAAGTCAACAAGCTCAGAGACTAAGACAGACGCAGCAGCAGACTCAAACGACGGGTCAGTGACAACAGTGGCGAGCAGACGCGTGACAGTAGGGTGAGCAGCACGAACCACGTTAGACTCAGGGTCCTGAATGTCAGGCAGATAAGACGCAGGAGGAGACGGTAGGGGAACACGCTGTGGAACAGAGGAAGGACGAAGTGCCATAGCGTGCGTGTCAGGGACAGGAGGCGGACGCTCACGAGGAACACGACAACCAGTGTGATGCGCGCGAACAGGCGAGGCAGGACGAGACGCAGGCTCACGACGCTTTGTAAGCGAGTGTGTGTGCTCAGTGTAAGGAGAAGGAGCAGGCAGTGGTGCATCGGGCTGTAACGGGAGGCCAGTAGAAGACGGGAGGCTAAGAACCTGGTGAAGCACGGAGTCAGGCGGTGGCAGAGACGACGGTGACGGCCACCGCCAGAAGCTCCGGACCGAACAGCTCCACCGCGACTGCCACGACATGTGCCGCCACCACGACGGGCTCCGCCACCACTCCGACTGCTGTCACCACCGCCGTCACCGCTACGACCGGTACCACGAAGAGAAGTTATAGCGGGCCAAGTAAGGAGGCGTGCGACCAGTAGGGCAGTACGGAGGGAAGGCAGTAGCACGAGCAGCAGTAGCAGCAGTAATAGCAGCAGAGCGGCTCGGTGAGGCTAGGCTGCAACACCTCCAGTACTCCGAGCAGTACCTCCACCAACAGTAGCAGTAGCACGTGTCAAACTATAATGCTACTTGTGTTGTGTAGGCTGTAGTGGGGTAGCCTATATGGGGTACAACCCAATTAGGGTTATACTTGTACTCAGTTTGAGGTCAATGCAATCATTCGTGCTCGTTAGTTTCTGACATCGTTAGTTTCTGACATCGTCTAGGTGTTAGGCTTGCCGCATGTCTGACCCTTGCGGTCACCAGTGCGAATGAAGTACGGGCAGGAAGCAGTAACCCCAGACGTCCGGCGCTGAGCATACCAATCACGAACCTGCTCGAACGAGAGGGTCTCACGCTGGCGCTGATGCTGCTGCTACTGCCACTGACCACCTCCAGACCGCCCACCACTGCTGCTGCCACCACCACTCCCGCCACCACCACCACCAATGCCCCCACTACGTCCATTGTCACCACGACCACTGCCACCGCCACCCCCGCCGCTGCCGCCACCGACTCCCCCACTCCCGCCACCACTCCCACTACCACCTCCGCCACCTCCACCGCCTCCACCGCCTCCACCATTACCGCCTCCATCGCCGCCACCCCCACCACCCTTGCCTCCCTTGCCCTTGCCGCTGCGACGCCTCCCACTAGGAGCAGAAGCAGCACCGAATCCCTCAGCACCAAGGAAGTCGACAGGAGCAGCAGAAGCGATAGAGGGGGCAAGGGGGGAGGGGGAGCACCCCTCAAAGAAGGGCGTGCGGGGAGTGCCATGAGCAGCACCTACAGCGACGATGTTGGTCTCAGCTGCTAGGAGGTGCTTCGAGAGCAGGTCGATAGAGAGGTCTGTGGGGCGAAGGGCGAGAAGGGTGTCCCAGACTGCGCTAAGAGAGTCGGGGAGGCGAGTGACTATAAAGTAGAGAGTGATGTAGATCGGGGGCTCATTCTTGGGGACAAACTCGGCTGGGAGGGCTGTACGGTAGCAAGCGTCCATAGTGCGGAGGTGGGTGATGAGGTCGTCTACAATGTCGAAAGAGGACAGCTCGGGAAAGAGGTAGGGGAGGATGAGGCGACCTAGAGCTGCAGTGGTAGGGGAAGAGTAGAGCGCGACAACAGCGTCGTATAGTTCTTTGGCCGTTTTAGTCTAATCAAAGTGGTTGCGTTCGGCTATCGGCAGGTGGTCACGAACAGCTAAGCGAGCGGCAGCGTCACGAGTGAGCCATTTCTAGCGAGCCGTACTATCGGCAGAGGCGGCAGGGGCAGGACGAGCTCCAGACGTGAGGTCAAACAGGGAGACATCGTCCTTAGAGTCGCTCAGGAGGAACAGCTGTAGGTCCTGCAGCCAGGTTTCGAACTTAATAGGGCGGCCGTCAGGATCAAACTCAAGGACGCTGAGGGAGGCCATAGCGCCGCAGTGCAGGGCAGTGTAAGTGGGCGTGCGGTAAGTAAGGCGGCGCACGGGGTGCAAAAGCTGCTAGGGAGCCGCGCGGGCTGCAGACAGGCAGTGCGCAAGGCAGCAGAGGCGGCGCGCGGGCTGCAGGGTAGTGCTCGGGCCGCGCGGGCAGCAGGTGGACGGCGGCAGGAGCTGCGCGCAGGCCGCAAAGGCAGCCTATATGGGGTAGCCTATATGGGGTACAACCCAATTAGGGTTATACTTGCACTCAAATTGATGCCAATGCAATTATTCCTGCTCGTTAGTTTCTGACATGCACTTATTCGAAATGTTCCCCGTTCACAGCGAGACTCGTCTGGAGTGAAAAAAAATAAAATGCACAGCACTTCGTTGATTCCGAAACGCTCCAAAAAAACTTCAGTTTTCAAGTGGACCCAACAGCTGCTGGCTTTAATTACCCTGCATGTACAGTAGCATCCGGACCTGAAGTGCTGTATAGGAATTTGCCACTCTTGTCAAATATTAACTGCATTGCACCTAAACAACCTCGGATTGAGAGATGAGAGTAGTGCTGCCAGGGATTTTGTTCCTGCCGTAAACTCCAACTTGCACCTTGGTTTTCAGCACATGGCTGTAAAGCACCCTGCTTTGGGAGCAAGATGGTACGCTCACTAGTCCAGACTCTGTCAGACAGCACTTGTTATTGCATAAAGAGAATCCACAACCACAAACACATACCAGTACCACACAAGCAACACTATTATACAGACATACCTACCATTGAAGGGGGGAAATGAAATAATAGATGAGATCAAGCCATGAGTGCAAGCAAGCGAAGTAGGTCAGCTGTTTCTCGTGGTGACCTCATTCAATCAAACCACCATTCAGCTGCCTCACATCAGACACCCCCAGAGGCGAGAACACCACACCACACCACACCACACCACACCACATCAGTACCGGATTTCAGTATACGAATCATTACACCGAACATTGCCACACCCAACCTCACCCAACCGAACTGGACGATGTCATGGCTTAGTACGGCTGAACTCCAATAACCGATGAAACAACGTGACCATCAGCGTCGCTCCACGTCATCCTTCCAAACGAGTAATCCGACGATTTTTTGACGGGGGTCATTGTGATGGTAATCGATTGCGAGCCCTTATTGGGCAGCGTGAAGGTGGTGGGTCGCACCACAACTTTCACATTCGCTGGAGGCTCAAGGGTGAGAGTGTACTTGCTGCGCTTCCCGCTCACGTTCACCACGCGCCGAACTACAGTGACCGTTTTCTTTAGCCGTGAAACGACAATGTTCGGGAGGTTGAGCTGGTACGCAGGGATTGGCAGTGGCGCCTGAATTTTGACTGCCGATGCAGAGGTGGCGCCCTTGGGCTTTGGGGCGGGTTTTGTGGATAAGACGCTCAGGCTCTGCGCGCGTGCCTCCTTACTGTTGACCCCGTATAAGAATGCAATGTACTCGTTATAGGTGATGTCGAAAATCAGCCCCGGGTCGATAGCTGCAGACGGGTTTATCTGCCCAGAACCGAGATTAAACGGCGTGGCATCATTCCTGTCCTGGCCTTCAATCCTGTCCTGGTTCTGAATGGGGCTCCCGACATTATTCTGTTGCGAAGCCGATGTCATGATGGCAGATTTAACCGCCGCGGGACTCAGAGTCGGGTTCTTCTGCATAACAAGCGCAGCAACACCAGCGACAATCGGAGTAGCCATGGAGGTTCCGGTGAGAATGCCGAACGACACCTCGCCTTGGGGCGACGGCGCGGCGGCGAAAAGCATGACGCCGGGAGCGACGATGTCGGGCTTGAGAATGTCGTTGGTGAAGTTGGAGAGGCCGGCGGGCTGCAGCGGGTTGACGAGCGGGCCCGAGGAGGAAATGGTTGCCACCTTGGGGGCCTCGTCGCTGGTGTCCCAGAAGAGCGGGGAGAGCGAGCCGACGGTTCTGCGGGATGGGAAGGGAGTGGCATGGAGGGGAGGAAACGGGGTTAGATGAGGGGACGTGTGGCACACAGGCGCAGTTTGCTCTGAAGAGCTGCGTGCAGACTGTCTAGTGGAAGGTAGCCTTGCAGGTTACAACCGCTCTTGCATGGCGCAACCAGCATGGCAGCTTGCGAATAAGCACCCAGCATTGCACCCCGTGCACTCAAGCAATGGGTGCGTTGGCCTTGAGGAGCTGGCGGATGCTGAATGCGTCCGTGTAGGTCATGGCGATGGCAGGATCCCCAGAGGGGGATGACGGGGCCAGCAGCATGACACACCTAAACCCTAAACCCGGCATTGCACAACCCGTGTGTACTCACGTGGCAGGGGCGTTGGCCTTGATGAGCTGGCGTAAGCTGAAGGCGTCTGTGTAGGTCATGGAGATGGCTGGGAAGTCAAAGTTGATGGTCTCGGGAGTTGCCGACGGGGACGATGGCGCGAGCAGCATGGCCGCTCCGCCTGAAGCCGCCACGACGGACGCCTTATCGTCGGCTGTGTTGCCTCCGGACACGCAGAGCACCATCCTGCCCTGCACCAGCCACCCTGCCAGTGATCCCGAGATGCATTGCTCCGCCTGGTGGGGTGGACGGAGAAGGGGGGTGGGAGGGCATAGGCATGTGGAAAGAAAGTGAGTGGTGGAGAAGGACGGGGAAGGGGGAGGTTGTGCGGAAGGCAAGGGAGTGGGATGAGGGGGTGCCTTTGAACCGAACTACTACTGCATGGGTGGAAAAGGCAAAACTGGTGCCAGACGTGATTCTATGCAAAAGGAGACAGAAAAGCCAATGGAAAAGGAGGAAAGGCCAGGCAGAGATTTGTGTAACTGACTTCGCTGTTGGCCGCCCCGGGCCTCTTGACGTCCACGCCCAGCACAATCTCCTTGTTCTTCGTGCTGTCGTCGCCGCCCCGCCACGTCCCGCCGTCCACATACAGGCTCTTCTTCTCGAAGGTGAGGCGGGCCAGGGGCGGGAACGTTCGGCTGATAGTGCTGGCGCCGACGGTGAGGGCGAAGGGCGAGACGGAGATGAGGGCGGGCGTGAGCGCGTAGGGCAGCGGCTTGCCGTTGTTGCCCGCTGCTTGCACCACAAACACACCCGCCTGGCGACAGAAGAGGCGTCGGGGGGGAAAGGGTGGGCAGCGGAGGGGAGGATAGGGGAAACGTTGAGGGTTGAGGAAGGGCAAAGACGAGAACAGTTGGACAGTGGCTGCTGAGAGGAATGGCAGAATGAGGGTCAAGATAATTCGCGGACATTGGCAGCAGTCAGCCGTGGCACTTTATTGACGTACGAATCCGGGTGTCTACACCCGCAATGTGCATGGATTTAAGAGGGTGATTTACCCTGGCAGCATTGAGCAGCGGTACTTCATCAAAGTAAGACTCAGGAAGTGCGCCAATTGAGAGGCTCAGGATATCCACACCGTCCGCCACGGCGCGATCAACGGCTGCGAGCACGTCGGCCCACGAGCCAAGCGCGCCGTTGGGGGTGTTCCAGAGCGCCTTGTACATCGCCAGGTGTGCACGAGGCGCCGCACCCGTCGCGTTGCCCAATGACTGGCTGCCACGCATGATGGGGACGTTCCTGTTGCCCGCTGCGGCTCTGTTGCGAGGGAGAGAGGAGCAGGGAGAGGAGCAGGAAATGGCGAAGGTAAGGGGGCTGTAATTAGACAAAAGAACATGAATAGAGCATCTGAAAAAAAAACAAACAAACAAACAAACAAACAAGGGGGTTGTGGAGGAGGGGTGGGGGAAAGGAGGTGCGGGAGAGGAAGGGGGAGTCTTTATAAACAAGGGCGACTCAGCAAGTTGGAAACGAGGGGGGGGGGGGGGGGGGGGGGGGTGCGAGGGGAAACTCACCCCGCACACCAGGTGCCGTGGCCAGTAGCGTCGCGAGGCGACTGGAACTCGTTCATCCAATCGATTTGCGAATTCACGTCTTCTGGATCTTGTTCGTTCAGCAGCCCGTCGACATACCACTGCGCGCCGATGAGCTTCGAATTGCACGGCGGGAAGTCGTCCGTCGCGTTGCACCCGCCCTTCCACGTCTTTGGTGGCGCTCCGTAAGGATTCACGGGATCCTGAAATTCAATCATAATCAAATACACACACCCAAAAAAGAGCATCCGGCGTGGCAATATGGAAAAGGGGCACTTGCCGGGAACAGGTAAGCAAAGAGCTGAGTGACAGCCAGACTAGCTGGGCTAGAACCGAGAACTCAGCTGAAGAATCTGAGGCACAGGATTCAAGGAACGACTATAGGAGACAAGGCGTACGTTGTTACACGACTAACTCCTACGTCAGCACGACGAAGGTGCTTACGTCAGCAAACGAGGGATGCTCCGGCCAGATGCCCGTGTCAATGACGCCGATCACGATTCCCTCGCCCGCGTGCTCCGGGCCGCCGAGGAATGGCCACGTGCCACCTGGCATGTTGAGGAAATCCATGGCGCTGCTCGTGAACCCCGTCACTAAGCCGGGCCGCCGAATGTCCTCCACCGTCGGATCGCTCTGGAGGCGCTCGACCTCGGACGGCGATAGGCGCGCGGTGAACGAGTTGGTGACGTACGTGTAGCTGTTGGCGCGGCACGCCAGGCACGGACCGAGGGGAGGGGGAGAATTGGAGAGGGGGGGGGAAGGAAGAGATGGACGGAGGGGGGGAAGAGAAATGGGGGAAGGGAAAGAGGGATCTTACTCGGGGAAAGAAAGAGCATGCCCTTCGTCCCCATGCTACTTGTGTATCGACTCCGTCCCCGCGTCCCCAAAACCTTCCGGTCATGCCGTTTCTTGTCATGCCCTCCCCTCCTTTTCGCGCCTGTCATCCGTCACCTGCGCCAGGCCGTCTGCTTCACCTGCGCGGACGGCACGCCTCACCGAAGCACGATTGGCGACGCCCGCGTCTGTCATCTGCCGCCTGCCGTCACCTGCTGAGAACTATCGGCGCGCAGCAGGGAGCTATCGGCGCGCAGCAGGGAGCTATCGGCGCGCAGCAGGGAGTTATCGGCGCGCAGCAGGCTCACCTGTGCACGATCTGCGATGAGCTGATATCCGCCTTTTGCACGGCGCGCTTGTGTCGCTTCTTGAGAAAGCTCACGAAATTCTTCACCAGCGGCGACCGCGCGTTGAATCGCACGCGGTTTCGCAGCTTTCTCAGCAGCCCGTTGCGCGACAATCCGCTCATCATCCCGCTCGCGGCGCCCATCAGCGACTTGGCGAGTGCCTGCGTGGCCTCCGCGATTGGCGGCGGCGCGGTCGCGTCGAAGCCGGCGATGCCGCCCTCGTAGGAGAGAACCGGCGGCGCGTCGTTCATTCTGACGACGTAGAGTTTCCGGCCGTCATTGTCTGGTGGAGGCAGGCAAGGAGGAAAAAGGCGAAAAAGCGAAGGAAAAGCGAATGCAAGCGTGAGGATACAAATGTCGAATAACCCACGACCATCCAGGTCTGGAGGAAGAGAAGAAAGGGCACAGAGATGAGAGAGCGAGAGAGAAGGGCCGTGGGAAAAAGGGAAGGGGTGGGGGGGAAGAAACGGGGGCGGAAATACGAGACGAGGCAAGGGAGGGAACAGGCGGGCGCAGGGAGAGGAGGGACGGAGGCCGGAAAAGTGTGGACGACGTGGAAAGCGGTTGAGCCTCGTCTATTGTTTAGATCTGGCTGCTTGGTCTGTGAACTAGCGAGCACGCTCTAGTCCTCTCGTCGCATCCGTCCGGCGATGGTGGCGCGACGGATCTCGGAAGAGAATCCGAAAAGGACGACGAGCGGCGAGGGGGAAGGAGAAGGGGAAGCGGGTAACTACGACGAGTCCCTCCACCACTACCCCACAGTGCATTGACTACGGGCTACGAGCTATGTAAGACTCGCCTCCCCTCCAACAAGGCTCTCCAGCACCAATTGCCCCGTCTGCGTGTCACGTCGCCTGTTGCTGAAGGACAGTGTCACCCCTGGCAGCGCCGCAAAACCTACCACTGAAAGGCGCCTCGTGTTCGCAGACTCGCCACCGATTCGTAACCCGTACCCGACTACGAACTCGTTCCTCCGCGTGCATTGCCTGCCTCGCGCACCGCCTGCCTGCGCTCTCCGTCTCCCTGGCTATAGACGAGCGCTAGCCCACCGGGTGAACTAGAGAACACGCCGAATCTACGGAGAACCATAACGTCTGCAAGCAATTGATGACAGGGTAACCAGCGTGGTCTTCGCGGAGTGATCGTTGCGATTACGTGCTGAACAGTGCGACGAGCAGCAGCGACTACCCTGTAGACCCTCGACGAGCGCCCCGAACCACGAAAATTCCCCTCGTCGCGACTCCGACGTGACGCCTTCAGAACAAAACGGCCGGTTACCCACACGGCCGTGAAATGCGCTTTTCGATGTGTTGACGGGCCTTGCTCGAAGGATGAGGACAGGGATTTGGTGATGATTTCCGGAGGAAAGAGAGTGAGGAGTGAGAAGGGGTGGGTGGGGGTGCGGGTGGGGGGAAGCGACGAACCTGCGCGGGTGAGGGAGAGGAGCACGAGCAGCAGGCAAGTGCGCGCAAACCACGGAGGGCCCATCGTCTAGCTCGGCGCGCGCCGAAGAGACGTCGAGTAGGGGTGATGTGCTGTGATCTACGACGAGCACCGCCCGAGATATATAATCAGGAGCAAAATGGAACACGCGCGAGGACGCTTATAAACATGAAGTATTAAGCACGGGTACGATTGATGAGGAGCTGCTAAAAGCTAGGAGCAAGAGATTTATCAGGACTACTACCAAGATGGGTGTGAACGATGAGGTGAGACGTCGAGGTAAGCACGGGTGGAGAGGGTTGGAGGAATGGAATGAAGTGCACAAGGAATCTACTAAGTGTACTTTGAGCACCAAATGGAACACGCGGCTAGCAAGTTAGACCGCTATGTCTAGTTGGCTAGCGGCGGCTGTGGTAGAGATTAACGACGAGCTGAGAAACCGGGCAACTGGGCTTGACTCGAGTTCAAGTAGGGTTCCTCTCATGTGGTACGCTTGGTGGTTGGTTGTTAGATAATGCGGCGCACTTCTTGCGGATGGGATGAGCATGGGATGTTCTTGTGTTGTGTCGGGTTGGGTGGTGTGGTGTACGGTTTTGCGACAAAAGACCATTGCATGGAGGTACGAGCAGGAGGGGAAGAAGGAACATGCTTCTTTGCAGGGAATGGTACGATACTGTACAGCGTAACAAGGTGCTGTGGAGGTGTGCATGGTTTGGTTGTTGTTCCTGTCTGGGTGCACTGTGGTGAAAGCCAAGCCGCAGGCGAATGTTCAAGATGGCTACAAGCAGTACAGTACAGTGCGGTGCGGGTAGGCAGCTGAGGGGAATTGGAAGAATGGGTGGGAGTGGTGGCGGTGGGGTGGGTGGGGTCACTTCACCAGTTGCCCCTCTGCGTGGTCCATCTCGTGAACACAGGTGGATCTCCATGATGAAAGGGAATTGGGGGGAAGAATTGCTGGCTGGCTGGTTCTGCTGGAGGAATTAGGACATACGACAGCGTCTTCGGCGAGAATCGCCCCGACGAAACCACAGCATCAAACTTCGCAAATGTGCTTGGACGACGGTTGTAGTTGGCACAATGTAACCGAAGCGAAGGGTTGCACAATTATCGAAGTGCTGTTAGCATGATAGGTTATCGGATTTCGTTGTCGTCTTCCAAGGTCGTATAGCACAGTCAGGTGCATGTCGCAGAATCAGGTGGTTTCAACAGATCAGTTGAGTGAGACGTTCGAATTTGATGCCGCAACCGAACCTCGTAAATGTTATAAGTTGTACTAAACAGAGTGCGCAAAAGACTTCATAAAAAGGATGAATTACAGAATGAAGAATAGAATAAAGGAACAAGCAGGCGAGGACCTCATTTATAGGGTTGAGAACCGTGCTAGGCGACGACCTCGGGACGTGCGTGGTCTGGGAATGTCGGGATTGGTTCGGGGCGACTCGGTAGTGGTTCGGGCCAAAGTGCAGGCCGAACCGAAAACTGACGCGAAGTGCTCGGTGATGTAAGCCCTAGGAGCAGACTCAGTAATAATAGCTATCTTCGTTACAGTAAACAATCACCTGCATGTTGATATAATTTTTTCTTCTGCGTATATGAGTGACGTTGTTATGAGTGCAATCAAGTGAGTGAACTAAGATTGCACTATCGGCCAGGCGAACGAGTATTTGCTCATAGCGACTGTTGGAATAATCGAAAGGTTATTATAAAACATTCCCGAAGGTTCCCCACTCTCGTGTCACTCCATAACGAAGTGTACGCCTGTACTAGTACCGCAATAGCTCATATAGAGCACGCAGAAGTCCGAAGGTCACCCGAAGGTCAACGGTCGAAGACAGTCAACAGTCGTGACCCTTAAGTGCCCAGAAACCGCACGAGGCAGTTACGAAGTGGAACGTGGTAACTGTCTAGAATGGCAATAATCGTGGGTTGCTGTAGCAATGCAATTCAGTTAAGGGAATGTACCCCTCAGAGTACATGGCTAGCTAGGAATGCTATCTATATCCCTGTACTTCCATCGTATATTCATCTTGTTTTCTCTCAACTTATTAACAAGGTCACTACAGAGACTTATAGTTCTCTTCTTTCACACTTGGCTACCTTATCCTGTCCACTACGATCCTTCGGTTATATCAGCAGCGACCATGAAATTTACAAGTGTTCCTTCGGCACCGACGGATCCTTGACCTCGACGGTCGAGATTCGACGGTCGAGATTGGCCATGGTCTCCCTTGTCAAATGCTGTAGCCTTTAATGATGCGTGTCATATAAGGTACAGCAGTTAGGGTTAGGTTTATATATTCCAACCCACAACAGTAAATCATCATTCGGTTTTGACATTGTATCACCTAGCTTAGGATCCTGTGAGATCCCGTTCCTCCCCCTAATGCCATAGAGCCTTACCGTCAAGCCCGTCCCGTACCCTAGCGTCCGTTGCGCCCGTACCGTCCCCTAGCGCCTGTCGCGACAGACCGTCTCGTTCCCTAGTGCCCGTCGCGTCCGTCTATCCTGTCGCATCGCGTTGCGCCCGTCTATCCCGTCGCGTCGCGTCGCGCATGCCCGTCTCATACCGTTGCATCGTTCCTGTCAGTCGCGTCGCGCCCGTCTGTCCCGTCTTGTCGCGTCGCGCCTGCCCGTCCCGTTGCGTCGCGCCTGCCCATCCCGTCCCGTCGCGTCGCGCCTGCCCGTCCCGTCTCGTCGCATCGCGCCTGCCTGCCTGTCGCGCCTGTTCCGTCCCCTCCCTACGTGCCTGTTGCGCCTGCCTGTCCGGTCGCGCCGCGCCTGCCCGTCTCGTCACGTCCTTCCTTTCTCGCCACATAGCGTCCTGCTTGCAGCGCCCTACTCCGGCCTTCTAGGCGATTTTTGTCAGAATCCCAGCCACTAACCACTGGGATAAAAGGGCTTGTTTGTGTAGCGGGTGAGTGCACACATAACCCTCCAGGCCAACGTGCCTGTAACCCTTCCCTACGATCAATCGGGGATCACCAGTGGACCTTTGACTATTTCCACATGTAGTTTCTTCACGCTTCCGCTATGGCGACTCCTAGAGTTTTCCGCTTTGACGGCGAGGGTAGGTCGCTCGAGTTCTCTGTCTGGCTCCTGTGTGCGCATCGTCTCCTAGAGAGTCAGGTTCAGGCAGACGAGTCCCTGTAGGCGCACGCTACCAGTGACCTTCGTGCGCCCCCCCGATCCTGGACCCTTAGGCTCTGACCCCACCACTTAGAACAGAGATCATTTTGCATGTCAGCGTGCTGCCCTGACTGCCTAGAAGTCGCGCGACGCTTCGACCTGCATTGCCCTCAGCAGCCTCCTCCCTGAGTATGAGGAGACCCACTTCACCCAGGTTCGCACGCCTAGTGAGCTCCTGACTACGATCAAGGCCCGCTACGCTACTCCTACCACTGTCTCTCTTAGTCGCCTATTCCTCCCCATCCTGCTGGCTTGATCGCTTACCTGTGTTCACTGGATTCTAGCTACCGCAGTGCCTGCGCTAACGCACAGCTTGCGCTACTCTCCCCCCCCCCCCCCATGGCGATTACTATCTATTTCATTGCCACTAGCCTCCCTGACGGCCTTGCCTTGGTTCGTGATGCGCTTCTTCTGAAGCACCCTAGCGAGCTCACTATCGGCGTTCTTGAGTCTGCCCTCAAGGACGTCGAGAGCAACCTCCGCTCGGTAGCCTCCGCCTCTAGCGGTGTGACCCCCCCACTGTTCCACGGGTGCACTGTCCCTCAGCTGCCACCTTTACTGCCTCCCCTACCACTGCCGCTAATGATGTGACCGCAGCTGCTGTTACGACTTCTACGCGGTT